CCCCCACCTCTGTCCTGTTCTTAAAAGAAACTTAACCCCTTGTGGCACCAGCAAGGGCCTCATTCCTGATTAATTTTACTTCCTTTTCCTCTTTTCTCTCCATCTCTATTGGGCTTCATTTTAGCCCCTCAGACTCCATGGGGCACTTACAGACAGTGCTCACAGCCTGGAAACTTCCCCATTTTGGTCTCATTAATTTCTGCTCACCCTTCAGCTCTCAGCTGAGTCATCACATTCTCCAAGATGTTTTTCCTATGTTCCCAACCACTTCAGTCCCACAGGGGTTCCAGTTGTACTCCCAACCTTTTCTTCTAGCAACTCCAGGCATTGCTGCTTTGACCAGGCAAACAGAAGGGTCAAAGAAAGAGGATGGCTTGAAGTCCCAGAGTCCTCTTTAGGAAGTTCTCTCCTTGTCAGAGCTCATGTATGTGGCCACCCTGACCGCAAGGGAGGCTGTGAAAGGTTGGTTTGGGCCTGGCAGCCTCTCAGTGGAATATGCTAAAAGAAAAGGGAACTGGGGTATTGTGTGAGTCACTCTCAGCATCTCCCACAGTGAGAGGACACCCACTGGGCCCCAAAGATTCCTGGAAACAACTTGGAGAATCTGGAGAAGGAGCTAGAAGAAGGATGTAATGACAATTTGAGAGTATAACATTAGGAAATGTCAATGACAGAAATAACTCAGCTTTGTGGAATCTGAGGAGCCTCACTTGTAACCTGACTGACCCCATTCAAATTTAAAGTTCAATTCTGGCTTCCATGAAGCCTCCACAAGCCCTTTCTTTCTTTTTCCTCTCCAAATCTCTTTTGTTTGGGAGGGGGGGCCTGGGAGCAGTAATTTTACTGAGAGATAACTCACTTATTATGAAAGTGACCCTCTTCAGACATGCAACTAAGTGGTTTTTAATATACTAATAGAGTAACCCAATCACCCACAGTATCAAGTTTCAGATTTCTTCACCCCAAGAGGAAACTGGGTATCCTCTAGTGGTCACTTCCCGCTCCCTACTGCCCCACGCCCTGGCCCCTGGCGTCTACCCTGGTTCTCTGGCTTTGCCCTTCTCACACGTGTACAGGGGCCACATCAACTTCTGAGACTGGTGTATCTCCCTCAGCCTCGTTACCACAGTTCGTGCCCAAGCAAGGCTACTTTACTCCTCCCAGGGAGGCCACTGTACGGAACCCACACTGCTTACACATCAGGTGCAGATATCAGATATGGGCATTTCTGCTTTGGCTAATGTGAGTGACATGATAAACACTTATGTACCACTTTTTGTGTGGACCTGATACAGTGAAACAGGACAAGTCTGTCTTCCTGCCCCATCAGATAAGCATTCCTGTCTGTTGCATTTAACATGTCTTCTTGCATTCTAAGGAAAAGGAAGGATATTCCTGAGGATAATAAGGAAGTAAAATATCTGAGTTAAACATCAGGTGCTAACAAAGCAAGCTGGCCCCACTGCCTACCTGTTTGTCTGCCTCAGGAGGACATGGGACCCTTAACCATCTCTTTTGACTCCTCTGTGTAAACACCCCTGCCCTCTGCCAAAGAGCAGGACCTGTGGTCTTTCAGACAAGTCTGCTGGGCCTTCAGTTTGTTGACAAAGTAACCAATCTTTTCCTTCTCCTCAAACTGTTTCCTTTTACTGGCTGAGGGAAACTGAGGCCAGCATTGGGTTTCAGACCTTTGTGCACATGTCTCAGATATATGCCTAGAACTGCTGGGTGATAGGTGACTTGTGTTCAACTTTTTGTGTAACCACCAAACTGTTTTCCTACGTGACTGCACTAATTTACAACCCACCCAGTACTGTCTGAGCGGGGTTAGCTTTTTAGAAAACATTTAAATAGTTGTGATCATTTACAATAATAGCTTAGTTTGAGAACAGCTGGGCTGATGGGTTGCCCAATACGAAGTGGCTGTACCCTGTAGCTGTTTAGAATGACACGTAGATTTCTTTTTACATGTGTGCTCAAAGCAGGAGAAACAATTATAAAAGCTTCTTCTGTTTGTTTGTTTCATACCATTTTAAGCTTGTTTGTGTGCTTAAAGTGTCGATATTATACTCTTGTAGTAATACACCACAATTAAAATTATGCTAATGATAGAGCAGCCCACAGTTGAGGCAGATAGTAGAATTATTGTTTTAAACACAACATCTCCATCAAGTGGGTACATTTACCGGCAACTAATATCGAAGACCCACAGAAAGCCTTTAAAGGGTTTACAAATTTCTTGAATTCGATGATAAAGACTGTAAGGCCCTGACACTTCAGATTTTTCCCTCTCCCTGGCCAGGCCAATCCAGCAAGTTCTCCTAAACTGTTGTTCGGGGTATACTTGAGGGGAGCAGCCGCTTAGGCCTGTTTTTCCTCCCATTCACTCCCAACTCCTGCTCATTGTTTAGCTCTCAGTGTAGGCACCCCTGCTCCCACCTTCCTGGTCACCCTCTTCATCTCCTTCACGCCATATCTCTAACACGGGGGTGGTGTGGAAATGGAAACAGGAGGCCCTCTTCTGCGGTGGGTTCACATGATGGCTGCCATGTCCTGGGGCTTTCTATGCTCAAAACAGTGTTGATTTTAATCCTTATGAGGAACACTGTCTTGACCAAAGCTCTAGCACTGCCTTCTCAGTTCCCACTTGAGGTAATAATGCTCCAGTTTCTGAGCATTGAAACCTTCATACCTGTAGTTCTCTTCAGCTAGCACCTGTTGCCACCTCCATTTAGCAAAATCTCACCCAGTTTTAAAGTCATTTCAGCCATTCTTGCTCCAAAGAGGTCCCCATTCCATTCTCAGAATTTTTCTTTCCCACCTTTGCACTCCTACACCCTGCTGGATCACTTATTTTATTACAATTCTTTGAGAACTTGTGTATTTCTGATCATGGGCAGAGCTCCGTGGAGAGGATGGATTGCACCTGATAAATCTTTGTAATTCCCAGGGCTCATGTATATAGCAGGGATTTTACATTTATGGAATAACAAATATACCAATCCTGTCCTTATTGCCAGTGTTGCCAGAGAATAAGCAGCCCGTATCATCCCCAGCCACTTAATTGCCAGGGACAATCAGAATCCTGAAAAAACACTTTTATTTCTTCATGCAGGCAAACAAACCCAAATGACTTCAAGGGGTACCAAAAGAAAGCTCTGCGAAGTCTGGACAATTAGTCATCCCAAAGGTAAATAGAGTGATTCTTCACAAAAGGAAATGGTGAGGCTTGAAAAACCCTACAGAACACCTCACATTCTCTACAGCTCCTGTCAGTCCTAATGTTGTTAGCCCGGGAAGGAAAATGAAAAGAATTTGACTTTGAAAATAGTTAGCTATTGGGAATTACTGCACAAGATGAAGGCTACAAATCTAGTTTCCCCATGGTCTAAAGCAGTCATTTTTATTTATTTTTTAATAATATAACAGTTTATTTATTTATTTATTTTTAAAGATTTATTTATTTGTACATACAGAACTGGGGTACAGGCCAGAGGCTCAGGGGCGGTGAGAGGCTTTACCAGAGACAGAGTGGGGAACAGAACAGGCAGATCGACAAAGTACACTGCTGAGGGGAGCAGCGGGAATCGAACTCATGCGGAAGTGGCTTTAGCTTCTCAGTGCTGTGCTTTAACCCGCTGCGCCACCATCATTTTGTACATTTTTTTTTCATCTCAATTGTAATCCCCGTGGGTTTCCCATCACTGAGTCACCCGTGTGCCATCACCATAGTCCCGTAAAGCAGTCATTTTTAACGGGTTTTCTCTCCCACTAAACTGAAGACAGAAGACACACTCCCATCCTCACTTAAGAATAGTAAAGCAAGGGAAATCAGCACCCTGAAGTAATGTCAGTCGCATTCCTCCCCAGCCTTGTCAGTCATGACTTAGCAGCCCCTCTACTGCTTGATTTAGACTCCACAGTTTTCCATCAATGTTCTCAAACCCCCCCCCCCCAACCTCTGCTTCCCCCGCCTTGTCCACTACACCATCATCTCCAGCCTGGGCAGTCACAGAGCCTCGTCATTAGCCTCCCTGCTGCGCCCGGCTCCTCCAGCTGATCTTCCCTGTTGCAGCCAGAGTGACTTGGGGAGTAGCATCACGTCCTTCTCTCTAAAAATGACTGCCTACAAGATAACAACCAGGTGAGACAGCCCATGGGAACCTTCATTTTGTAAGGGAGGACGTCCAAGCAGAAAAAATTAGTGAAACCATGTGTCTCTGGTTGGACAGAGCTGAGTTTAGAATTCGGAATTCAGCATAGTGTGGATGGGTATTTCAATGAGCTTCATTGCTTCCCCCCTTAATGTAGCTCACCCTCAGTGTTCATGGAAGACAAATGCAATGATTTGGATTGGACTAAAATCTGCTTGTGGGGCCACAAAATATTAAAATAGAGGCAAGAGGCCTGAGAACGCAGCCTGAGCCGATGCATCAGGGTTGCTCACACATAGATCCTGGTGTCTCAAGATCCACCTCTAGCCAACCAGAGGACAGGGGCGGCATTCCAGGTCCAGGACAATATGATCCACGTGGGGGGCATAGGATTTCACTGGTTGGATGTGCAGGATTTGTGTCCTCCATGGTTTCCCATGCACCTGTTGAAGAAGAATAGCAATCTGAGTTTCTGCAAATTCCGCCCACCTTTGCCACTCTGGCTTGGTGGCTGTTGACAGTATTTTCCTCTTAGAATCCTTGGTAGCTCTATTTTCCAATTGGCTGGTGATAACTTCCTGAGAATAAGACCAGTGCCCCTTCTCCTCCATGATACTGCTTCTGGGAGAGTGGAGATTCTTGCGTGGGAAAGATTCCACATTTTGGTGGATATGCAAAACGCCCCCAGCATCGGCGCGTAGGACTTGGCAGGCAATGGGCCAGCCTTCTTCAGAGCTGGGGATCAGCCCCAGGTTCACCCTGTCGGCAATGTTTGAAAGCTTCAGTTTCCTGTTATCTCCAAAGTGAATTTGGCACCGATCTGCCACCCCGTTGGTCTCCAAGTTCTTTTTCAGAGCATCTATAGCATGGGGGTTCCACTCACAGGCATGGACAAAAGCAACCCCAGCATGAACTAGAAAGGGCAAGGTAAAATAACCAATGCCAGCATAGAGATCCACCAGCACTTCTCCAGCACAGGGCAGCGATGCCACTCGCAGCTTCTCGGTGATGTTTCCGAAGGAGAACATGCACTGGGTCACGTCAAACTTATATCGGATCCCGTTGTCCACATGCTCCACCCAGCCATCGTCGCCCAACAGCAGTGTCACTTCTGGAGTGCGAGTGCCGTCCGGCGATACCCGCCCTCGTTTGGCCAAACGCTGGACCCCAAGTGCTGAGGCCACAGTCTTCCAGAGTTCTGGCTGCAGACCCTCCCACTGCACGGCTTGGAAACAGTCCTCACCTAGCAACAAGAGGTCTCCGTGCCGTTGCCAAGATCTGGGCAGGTCGGCCTCCAACTGAGCGGACCACGCCAAGCCCCGACTTTCGGCCCAGCGCCTCACCTCAAGACACAGCCTTCGGGCAGGCGAGCAACCCTGGGCCTTCTTGGAAGGCGCGGGCTCCAGCAGCCGAGTGAGCACACAGGTGCTGCCCGGGGCCACGCGATCCCGCAGCTCCCGCAGGTGCTGCTCCGCCAGGGTCTCCCCCAGCACAGGCAGCGCCACAGTGCCCTCCCGCATCTTTTCTACACGGTGCTGTCCATCCAGGAGTTTCTGCTTTTCGAGATATTCCCTGTACCTCTGGGCAAACCGAGGTTCAGTGACAACTGCGACAACGGCCGCAGACTTCCCACCTGCCGGTTCCATGCTGCAGACCTCACATGCTCTCGGGTCTCTCCCGGGGGCTCCCTCTCTCGGTTATCACTGCTGAGGGAGGAGGAGAAGCGAACCGGCCGCTCTGCCGGGAGGGAAGTGACGTCACCGACTGGCCGGACCTAGATGATGACGCACTAGTAGTGTCGTCACCGCCGTGGTGAAGCTGCCACCGCCATCTTTGTTGTGGTCCGCCATTCCTTGCTTCTACCTATGAGGTAATGAAGACTAGTAAGGAATTCTCTGGCCCTGGTATGTTGAGCTGAATCAGTTTCATACTGCTGTGTAGTCATCATCGCGGGCCACTCTCTTCACTAACACAGAAACGTCAGAGCGTCTAACTTCCTTTCTCTTGCAGAGATAGTCACAAGGGGGCACTGTCCTGCAGTATAAACAAGGCTGAAGTCAGATGGATATGAATTCTGGCAAATCACTTCACCTCTCAGAACAGCAAGCATCACCTGTAAAGGAGTTTTTTAACCTCCCCAGTTTCTTGCTGTAGCGATTGGGATATTATGTGTGAAGTGCTTTGGGCCGTGACTAGGAAAGACAAACTGACTAGGAAAGAGGTATAAAGAAACTAGAATTGCTTGGATTGCAGCTTTTAAAAACCTGTTGAAATGCTTTGCTATAGCAAGTGAGGACAATGGAAAATTCCCTTTTAATTAAAAATAGGAGTTGTAATAAGCCCTCCCCTTCAACTTACGGTCAAGGTATCCTTTAACAGAGTTAAAGCTTAGTCTAGACACTTTGCTCAGCTCTACAATGCTGGAGACAACACAGATAAGAAAGAGAAACCGATAGAGTTGCCATGGGAACATGGCCCTGGGTCCACACAATCTACAGGGGGCTACAGAGAATTACCAGACTGTAGAAACTGGGCAAACAACCCAGGAGGATAGCTGTGGGGAAGGCCACTGAAACCTGAGGTCCCAGCAGACAGCAATCAGCAGAGACATACTCCCTCAGTAGTGAAAAATCTGGTAAAAATAGCTTATAAAAGGGAGCCCCAAATCCTCCTTCCCCCACAGATCTCTGCCTTCTCGCACCCTACTCCTTAGCAGGGTATTTTCTAATCTCCACTCTGCATCTGGTGAATTCTTTCACAACCCCTCTGCTCCCAAAGCTCCAGCCTCACCCATAATACACTGCCGTACTTACCTCCCTCCCCCATTTCTATAGATTAGGATATAAGATCAAGAGAAGTTAACATTAACCAACACTTCAAATTCAGGCACTCTCTATGGGAGCCCTCAGGCTATTACTAGAACACTTGCTTATTTTTTTGTACCTATCCAATATCAGGCAGAATTTTTATTTCATCTCTGTTACAGACTCAGACTCCATGGAGGAAGCAGAGAGCGGAACAGGGTAGAAGACCTTGGTGCCTCACATATTCTTGGGACTCAGCACACCTGTAAATGCCAACCTTGATGTCTAACTCCAAGAACCTAAGAGTATTTGCCTGAGGACATTCTCTGCTCACCAGAAAAGCTTAGCACATGTCCAGGGCAGGTCAGAAATGCTGGGAAATCAAAACTGTCTTCACCTTCCCAAGAGAAGCCTTTAACAGTGACTGATGATGTTAATGGATACTTTTCCCAGGATCCAATTTCCAGTTTTCAGCTTTGGTTGGAAAACCTCCCAGGTAAGTTCTATGTCCCCCAGAGTTTGCTCAGAACTTCAGTTTTTCAAGATACGCGCTAGTCTATTGCAGATACCCAACCCCGTTATTCTCATTAATACGCACATGTGCTGCACTTGCTGTCTTTTACAGCTTCTCCCTTGACACTTCATTCCTACTGATATTTCCAAGTTCGTATCTTCTAGCATGTCGTAGCTCCCAATCCATGCTATCACCAATAGCATTTATCATTTCAAGATTTCAGCTTGGTGTCTAGTAGTAACTCATTAATGTGTCTAAAACCTTTCTATTAACCACCACCTCCCATAGGTAGGATATCATTCAGCAGCCACCCCCTTATTCAGCAGCCACCCCCTTACTCAAGTTTACAGTTTAAGAAGTATCTTTAATCACCCCTTTCTCCTTTTACTACCTTCCTGTAAGTTGGACAGTCAGATCTCTGTATTTCTATATTCTTTCGATTCCAAAACAGCATATACTGAATCAGACTGTGTCTCTTGATCTCCCTAGCCACCTCTGGCATGTCAGTTCTTCTGGCTGCCTCTTTGCTGATTTCTTCACTCTTATAGTTTATTCTTCATATAACCACGTGAGACTTTTCAAAACATACTTTCTAATCCTCTTCCTACTGAAAAACAGTGTCTCTCTACCCATTATTCACAGGACAGATAGTCTGCCCTGCCCACCAGAGCAAGACTGATCTGGCTTATAAATCTCAGTCTGAGATGGAACAATTCCCCTTATGACGCCCACCTTTCACTTCCTGAAATGAACCAAGTCCTTCCACGCGCTCTTGCTTTCCTGCTTGCTGTTCCTTTGTGTGAAGTGCCTTTCTCTTAGGCGATGCAGCGGCTGAAGATTTGTTTGAGAAAGTCATCTTTTTTTTTTAATATTTATTTATGCATACAAGAATTGGGGTACAGGCCAGAGGTAGGGGGATGAGAGGATTCACCAGAGACAGAGTGGGGAGAACAGGCAGATGGACTGAAATACACTGCTGAGAGGAGCAGACAGGAGAGGTCTGTCATGCCATGTGGGTCAGCTCCCTGGCCGGGGATGGCTTCATAGTGCTGTGGTTTTTTGTTTTTTTGTTTTTTTTTTAAAGATTTATTTATGCATATAGAGCTGGGGTAAAGGCCAGAGGTGCGGGGCGGTGAGAGGATTCACCAGAGACAGAGCGGGAAGCAGAGCAGGCCGACTGATGAAGTACACTTCTGAGGGGAGCAGCGGGTGGATCAGGAGAGGTCTGCCACGCCATGTGGGTCACTCCAAGGTAGTGGCTTAGCTTCTTAGTGCTGTGCTTTAACCCTCTGAGCCACCCGGGAGGGCCCCATAGTGCTGTGTTTTAACCCCTGTGCCATCTGGGAGGGCCCGAAAAAAAAACCATGTTTAAATTGTTATTCTTTCCCTCTATATTATGTCTACTTAATGATCTGTTCATTTCTTTTAAACATTGTTTGCTCTTTATTTGTATACTCTTCTCTGCCTGTCTCCCTCAGTAGTAAAAAATATTCTCTTAGACGGGGAGTGGTATTTTTCTGTTTACTGCTATAGCCCTGGCCTTTTTTTTTTTCTTTTTTGTAGTTTCTGGTCAATACCAGTTAATGAGAGGATGTCTGCTTGTATCACTAAGAGACTTTTACATGTTAGCACCCAGTCAAGCAGTAAGCCATTGTGCAAATGTAAAAATGATAAGAAATTCAGACAAAGAATCTCCTTGGTAGCATAGGGGTTATAAAGACTCAGTGTTATCAAGCTTGATCACTGCAGCACAAATTTGATCCCCAGCCAGAGAGCTGACCCACATGGCACAGCAGATCTCTCCTGTCTCGCCTGCTGCTCCCCTCAGCAGTGTACTTCAGTGATCTCTGGCCTATGCTCCAGTTCTTGTATGCATAAATAAATAACAATTTTTAAAAAAAATTCAACAAAGATTGATAAGCTAAGATAGTCTCTGCTCTTTTGCTTATGCCTATAGATGGAGGTAAAAATGAATTATGGTACACCCTTTAAATGGAAATATCACAATTATTATGGTGGTCACAGAAGTCTTAATGAAATGGGAGGTTACTCATTATGCTGCATTAAATTAATTTCCCACATATGCAGTTATGCATCAGGTGATAGCATATTATTTATTTACGTAAACAAATTAATGTGCACAGTGATTCCCTGGATGGGATGTAATTAGAGGTGTTTCCATGCAGCTGTGTAAAATATTGGCTAAGGAGAACTGATCTCCCTTCTACCACGTGTTGTAGAGATTCAATACAAATTTATCCAATGTCAAAAAAAAATCTTATATGAACATCTCTCACTTTACCTCATCAGAAAATGGCTTTACTGGAGCTTTCTTTATGTTCTACAATAAAACCCCAGTGTGGATTATTGTTATATAGGGATGCTTATGTTCTTACCTATTGATTTGTAGTGCTTTAAATGTAAACAGTAAAATGAATACTCAGCACTCCTGGACTATAACCCCAAACCGTCTTTATTTCACCCCACTGCTCTCTGTGGCTGTCCTTCCCCTGCTGATACATGAAGAGTCGGGTCATCCATAACTTTTCCACTTTGATCCTTCGATGTATTGGTATTTAGAGGAACATTGTTTAATTTTCTGTACACTTGGAATACTCCAAGTTGCTTTATTATTGATTTCTAATTCACTTCACTGTAGTCAGAGAATATACTTTGTTTGATTTCAGTCCTTTTAAACTTACTAAGTTTATGGCCTAACATATGGCATGGTGGAGTCTCATGTGTAGTTGAAAGGACTCTGTGGTCTTGGGTGGAGTGTCCTCCAGATGTCTGTTAGGTGACATCTAGGCAGCTCATGCCAGGTAAGAAAATCCTGCAGTCTATAGCTTATAAACATGGCCTCAATTTAGAAATCAGAAGGCCTGCTATCAAATGGTAACCTAAACCCATGGCTTTCTTTGATTCCTTTGACCTCCACACACTCCGCTTTTTTTTTCTTTTATTTATTACAAAGTTTATTTTTACATCATTTTGCACATTTTTTTTCACCTTGATTGTAATCCCTGTGGGTTTCCCATCACCAAATTACCCCTGTGCCACCACCATAGTCCCGTGCATTTCCCTCCCTTCCCCCCCCCCCC